TTATTTGAAATTTAAATTGCTTTCTTAAAAGAAAAGCTATTTGAAATTAAGGCAGCTTAATCAGACTTAACCATCTACAGTTCAAACAACCTTCTCAAATTTCAGAAGATATTCTAGCTGTACTCAGTTTCAAAATAAAGTCAAACCACTGAACACAGAACCGCTGTGTAAGCAGATGCAACTGGAGTCTGTGGGTACCAAGACCTGTAGCCTTTTTGCACTTGCGGAAAAGGAGATTGCATTTTGTTTCTTCCATTTCAGCTTATTTAACAAGTTGAGTTTTACATTAGTTTATTTAAAAATTAATTATTAATAGACCATAATTTTTACAAGATTTGGTGTTTTTTTTCTAAGCTACAAATAAGAGTGAGGGATGAAAAAATGGTTCTTTCATAGACTCCTAAATGTGGAAGATCAAGGTGACAAAAAGCTATTGGTTCTATTCATACACTATACATTGTCTTTAATAATTAGTTTTATCAGCTTACTTAGTAAACAAAAGAAAAACATCACCTAGGACATTTTCAACTGAATTCTACATTTACAACATTAATAAAAAAACCAAACAAACCCAAAAAAACCCCCAAAACCAACACACTTGAAAATAAGCTAGTCATAGCAAATAAGGGAACATGGTAAATAGCAAATAGGGCCACAACTACAAAGCTTCTTCTTGAACCAGACAGAAATCATATCTGAATAACTTATGAAGAAAACATCTGCTACAGGATAAGCCAGTCTCTTACACAGCAAATAATGTAATTTCAGCCCCTGAATATCAAATTTCATTTTGTGGGGAAAATAATTCCGAAGCATTGCAACACACTGATGCTTTAAGTTAGTTTCATATTTTTTCAGTCCAATCAGGCCATTCTCAGCAAACAATCTGAGCTAACGAAATGTCAATTAAGATAAATTAATAAAAGCAGCAAAGAGTGGGCAAGCTCAGACAGCCCTGTTCACAAACTTAGCTACACAAAGACCGCTTGGACAAGCAGTTTTCTTTGTTACACTCTTGCTTATCCAGGGAATAAAGCCAGGGCTGCTTCCCTGAGCATAAGGCTCTAAACTCTGACCCCTTACCTTAGCTGTGGGCAGACCTGCTCTGTGCTACATCCAGGCCCTAGCCCAAAGCACACGTACACATTCTGCAAGTTGCTTTTACATGCAGAACTACAGAGAAGGATAGATGTTAATTAAAAAAAAGAAAAATTAATTCATCTAGCAGAGAGCAAACATATTTTATAAACTATTTAAAATGTAATTATTTACTTTGGGTACAGATCTACACTGGAAAATCATCTGTTAGTATAAGTCAACTCATTAATTATTAAGTTGCTGCCACCACCTGCACCAGTTAGCTTAAGTGAATACAGGTGTCTTTACCTGCAGTCATTTCTGAGACTTCTGGGGAGATGTACTGAAATAGAAACCGCAAGCTATGTGACGATTTTCAGTAGAGGAGAAAACAGTTAAGGAAATAGAGAAAAGCCCAAGATTTGGAGTTTTGACTGGATTTCCTCTTACCAGCATATGCAAGTCTGACGATGGTGGCTTCATCCTGGGCCAAGTGTGCAATGCCTGGCAGAATGTATTCTGGGTAAATGTTAATATCATTGCGTGGCACCTCTTTGACGAGAGCAAGAACTTTAGTTAGTGTCCTCACAGATTCTGCCCTCACCCTGGGCACAGAGTCGTTGCTGAAATGTAACAGATAAGGAGTAATACGATCCAGAAGAATCTCTACACTTAATCTTGGTGCTAAATGAAGAATCAGTTCCAAAGCAGCCAGCTTTGAATCACAGTATTTGAGAGTCTGTAAACAGGAAGTTATCACAGACACTAGAATAACCAGCCCATTCTCTTTTGTCTCTCCCTCGGCTTTCTCTGTGCGATCATGCCCACAGAGATTGTGAATGATGTTGTCCAGATCTTTACGTATGACCAATATACGCTCATCTGCCGATACAAACGTTTCCTTGGCAAACTGGGCCATGTAAGGCTGAAGGAAAGTGTAAAATATTTCAGGAAATGCATTGTTACGTTGCTGTTTCAAATAATCTTCAGCTGCTAAACGTTTATCTGGCTCGCGATGGACCATCTGAGTGACCTTGAGAAAGGCAGAAGTAGGAGGGAGTGAGAGAGAAAGATTAAAGGTTTAGACATTTGTAATACCAAAAAAAAAAAAACAAACCCAAAACCAAACCACCCAAACAATAAGCAATGTCACCAAAGTAGGTGAAATAAACTACAAACAGACCACACAAATGGTTCTAATGCTGTAGCCCATCCTTACCAGTTCTCTGATACTGCAGTCTTCAATTTTGTTTAGGACTTGATCAGGGGAAAAGAGGCCATTTCTGTAAGCCAAAAGCTGAGATAAATCAAACAAGGGTACGCCTTCTGTGAAGAGCTCTGCTATAACACAGCCTGGGGAAAAAGGGGGGGGGGGGGGGGGGAAAAAACGAAACAGACA